CCAACGCACACGAGCTATGTTTCTGAGACAACGGTTGTCGACGTCTTCAGGTGTTCGACAATCGTTGTCTCAGACCACGTCCTATCCTTTAGGTCTGTAGCACCCAAGGGGCACCGTACACTTGTTTGATCCCTACTGGACATCATCAGCAATGCGTATCTAACAAAACTCATGCAGTTCCGAACCTGCGACCTTCCGGCCAGTGGTTGAACAATTAGCCGCTCGGCTACGAGCAGCGGAACATTAGGGTGATTAGTTCGCACTTGAATCCAAGAAACCAACTCAATTAATAACATATTGACTGGCTTCTCGGGTAACGATTTCGCAGATGCGAGTTTTACTCATCTTGGTAAACCAGTGTTCACCTAAGCCGATTTTGTTCGCTGAAGCACAAAACGGCAAGACTGCATGGCCTGAGTAAATCGAACACGCTCATCAGGATCCATTCCGAATTTTTGCCGTCGTTCGTTGTCCCTCATGACATGCGAGTTTTGTGCGATCGTGCAGATGCACGTGATCTTGATAGATCTCCTCACTCGTAGAATCCCGATAAGAGACACCTGACAGGCGGCACGCCAGATTTGGGTCTCCAAATTCCTTCTCTCCTAAAAAAACAAGTTCATGTGATTGTTTACGTTCTCCTCTCTCTCTCTCTCTCTCTCTCTCTGGTAACGTGCACTTTCACTAAATGGAGCTGCACTAATCGAGATTAAGGATAAAACAGTTTCAAGTTCGAAAAGAAGAACGGGTTAGCTCTAAAAGTTTGCTGATAGGAGAGTTTACAAGTGCCTATTAATTAAAGTTGTAGTAACTGGCCTGTTCTGTATTTTATGTGCCCTTCACGTTGTTCATTAGCTCAAAGGAACACCTGGCAAGGAGAAAAGCCTTTAAAACCCGGAGAATTTCAGAGACAAAAGGACGACAAAACTAGACATGGCGGAATATGGACGCAACGATTAATCGTTGAGTTCACGTCGTTTTTACGTCTTCACCTGAATTTCAACGTAACTTAAAGGGGACTACCTTATTCATGTCTCGGCTTTTGGGCTCGTGTAATTGTGTACAACCCACGAAGTACTCACAACCCCCTTGATATATTCCGACTCTACCAAAATCTCAGGGTAGAATCTCTTTGTTTTGGTGGCTTACGGAGGTGACCGCATTATGTTATGAGCTTTTTTGCTCTTAAACCCTCCACCCTATGTAGAAGAGATCTACAGTCTAGTTACTACTAACGTTTTTAATATACTATCAGACAAGATGAAACTCAAATGACAGGGATCCTACATATACTACTGTGCGCGAGATGTGTCGCACGTGGCTCAAACCTACTGACCAGAGGACCCATGGTTCGGATCCAACCCCGAGCATCTTGACTACTTCTCTGTATGTTTAAGTAGTATCTCAGCTCTCACGCTTGTATCGGGTGGCATGGTATCAAATCACCGAAAGGGTGTAACGGCCGAACGATTTCCATTGTCTGATTACTTGAGTGACTATATTCGCGAGATGGCGAAACCTAGTGTACTGATGACCATAGAGATCTTCCAGAGGGATTAAAAACAACAAAACATTACAAAGATATACATGTATCGCGATATCTCGAATATCGTAGCGACTGGAACATGAGGCGGCCTGGTGCAGCACATTCAGTTGCCTGAGGACATCATAAACGAAAGATTCAGCTGGGTTCCAGGTGAGTGTCTGGAGAAAACCAACTTAGTTTGCAAATGAGTGTATATTCGCTAATTTCGTGCAATTTGGTTACAAGTAGAACATAAGGTTGACGGAAACCCGGGGACTGCGCCTACCTGGTGAGCCCCAATAGAAGGCGAAAACGGTGGTGGGCTGTCGGAGAGTTTTCAGCAACCTAATGAGTAGTGTATCATGCCTGTAACAGGTTTTCTTCGCACTCGAATATGACCAACAACGTAGGTTTTCCTCATCAGTTAACTCCGTGGAGGGGGGGGGGGTTAAGAGAATTCAAGCCCGGTTCGAAGATGAGCGTGGGTGTGTTAATGCTCCTCTAGAGCCCGAAAATTAGCTATATGAACGAGAAAACGGAGAGCACTAACAATATCAACTGGTTGAGTAAAATTATTACAACAGGTATATATGCGAACAAGGGACTTATCGTATTGCAGATTCAGGTTGGTAAATCCTGTTGTGAGTCCGGATGCAGGTTTCGTGTTTTCTTCGATGTTGTAGCAGCTACACGTATTCCTGAATATCCGTGAGTGAAACAGCGTAAGTTCTGATCGGCTCTGCTCAGAGTTGGGTGACGTGCGAAGCTCTGTTGAGTTGTGTTGTGTTGTGTTGCTGTGCTGTTATCCTATATGTAGGAGGGTTTGTATGTGTGGGGCGTCAGTACATGACTTGTTGCCACCTTATCGGACGGTAGGCAGTCGAATCAGATGAGTCACCCTTGTTTGTCGTGATTTGAACATGTAGG